CAAGTGCCTTACAAGGAGATGATTTGAGGAAGTAATAACAGCTGGATTTATAAAACACTTATCCAGTCTCTCAAGGATTCGGTCTATCCCTTGCTTGTTGTTGCACCAAGTGAATTTAGGACCCACAAATCCAACTTCATGGAAGTCATTGTTAGCAAGAAAGGTCTTCATTTCCTTGGATCCAAGGGAAAGTTTGAATCTTTTCCCTCCCCTTTTATCGTCACTTGAAAGGATGCAATTGAAATCACATCCTATGACCATAAGATGTTCCTTATCAGCAAAGAATTCCAGCCTTTCCCAAAGCCATCTCCTTCTATAACCATCCTTCCTACCATAGATTGAAGCTATCCTCCATGCAGCTTTGTTGAGAATCTCCAAATCCCCCACAATGAATTGTGATGAGGATTCTAATATTTGAAAAGAGGCTATATTGACTTTCCATAACACAAGAGTTGTTAAGAGAGTTACTATTTTCATATGTTACATTCTTGTAACTTGTATAGTTTTGATGATTTCAAATATTATTATTTTATGTGTAATTATCTCCTAACACCTTTTGGAAGATTTTTTTTTGCTCTCGTGTGTACTAACATTTCAGGAAAATTGAACTCCAAACTATGAAGACTTCAAATCAAATTCAGCATAAAATCCTTTCCAAATTGAAGCTTTAAATTATTCTTTGAATTGAGAGGGAGTGATTGTAATTAAGTGAATAAAAACACACACACACATACTTAAGGAGATCTTACAAAATTTATACTAATCGTACGGTACGAACCTAGTTAGTATGGGACGATCAAGTAAGTTATCTCCTCATAGGAGTAATGGAAAGAACAGGATTTGGAGGAAATTTTTCTAAGTCTTGATCATCCAGGATGAAATTTATTTCATTCTAGGATGAGTTAGGCTCTGTAAAAATTTCATTCAGATGAAATCTATAATCATGCCAAGACGACTTGGGCTCTGTAAAAATTTTGTCCAGAAGAAATCCAAATCATCCCAGGACGAATTCTTCTCTGTAAAAACTTCATTCAGACGAAGTTCATTATCGTGCTAGGACGAGTTGATCTCTGTAAAAATTTTGTCCGGACGAAGTCCTGTTCATCTCAGGATGATGTGAACTGACTTACTAAAGTTGGTTGCGTCCATGCAGTTATTTGGGAACCGAGCTATGGAATAACTGATCGTACCGGATTAACCTAGTTAGTACGGGATGATGATCGTTTATGAACATAGTTCGTACCAATATACATAAGGATCGTTTCCGACACTTTAAGAAAAATTGTCCAGGACGATCCACGATCGTACGGGACTATCCATTTTGTGTTAACTTGAATATTTTGCAGTTTTGGATAGTTTTTCTTGTCTCTCCTATATAAGGTTCAATTTAGACTACCACCCAATCTTTTTGCCATTTGATCTTCGTGCCTATTGAAAGAAGAGTCAAGGAGAGAGTGTGAGAGAGCATTTAAAGCAAGATTCCTACCACTGGAGCGTGAAGGCTTCGCTTGGTGTTCAACGGTAAGAATCTCTACTTGTGATTTGGGTTAACTTCACTCTTTTCTTCCTTCCTTCTAGATTTATTGTGAGAAGAGCTGTCAAGGAAATTCGATTCTCTGCCGACACTTGGAGAGTGTGAACAACCGCGGGTTCTTTTCCCACACTAGGATAGTGTAAAAGGACAACGGTTTTCTGTCAACACTGGGAATAGTGTAAAAGGATGATGGTTCTCTGCCAATACTGGGGATAGTGTAAAAGGACAATGGTTCTCTGCCAACACTGGGGATAAGTGTAAAAGGAACATGGTTCTCTGCCGCACCGGGTAGTGGTGGAATGAGTTTTTGTAAAGGCTTCTCCGCCTTGCTGTGGGTGCTAAAGGAGAGTCACTAGTGGTATTAGTGCAATACTCGGAGGGTGCCTCCGGGGAGTGGATGTAGGTCGGGTTTAGACTGAATCACTATAAATTTTGTGTCTTTAATTTTTACTGCTTTTTATTTTCCACATTTTGTTTTGTTATAAAAATTGTGGTTGAAAAATGTTTTCTAAAAATTCATTAAAGTTTATTTTCGGTTCAACATACTCAAGAGGGATAACTTTTTTTTTTTTAAAATACCAATTCACCCCCGTCTCTTGGATAGCCTTGGGACATAAGCTTAGGTTTAACAACCTAATTCATAGTGAATGAATCTCAACAAGTGGTATTAGAGCCTTATTTCAAAATCATAAGTTTAAACTACTTTTTGATTAACATAAATGGCTACATGGAAACCGAAACACACATGAGGGTTACTCTATTATTAGATCTCTACTGTTTGATAGTATACCTTTTATTTTTTGGAAAACACGCATGTCTACTTTCTTACAGTCACTTGATTATCGTATGTAGATCTTAGTCCAGGAAGGATATACAAAACCAACTAGATTAGTTGATGGAGTTAGAGTTGAAACACCTTTTGTAGATTGGATAGTAGAAGAACGTGACTTAACACAGCTAAACGCCAAGTGTTTGAATAGTTTCTTTTGTGCTTTAAAATAGGAAGACTACATGCGGGTTTCCACTTGCAAAAGTGGAAAGGACATATGGGGATAGACTTTGTATAACTTATGAGGGGACTAATGAGGTTAAGCAATCTAGACTTAATATCTTGTTGCATGATTATGAATTTTATTTCTGACATGTACACAAGATTCACACAAATAATTACCTCTTTGCATGCACTTGGTAGGGAACGAACGAATACTAAAATGGTTAATAAGATTCTTCATTTTTTACCTACTGCTTATGATGCTAAAATTACTGTAATTACAGAGTCTAAGTATTTAAACATTTATTTTATAGATAATTTTCTTGGTTCGTTTATTGCTTACGAGCAAGGAGTTAGCCAAAGAAAGATTGATGGAGGTGAACCACGAAGGGAGAAGAACATAGCACTGAATATGGAAGAGTCTGAGAGTGAACAATCATAACCTGAGGATGAAGAAGACATTGCATTGATGACTAGACAATTCAGAAGCTTTCTGAAGAGGAAGTAGAAGAAACGCTAGCAATGGAATAGAGGTAAATTCAATAGAAATATCAAGGTTTC